ATCTGGACTTCCGGGAAACACCAGCCGAAGAGCAATGGAAGCAGTGCGTGCCTACAGACCAACGACCCGCCCTGCTTCAGCGAATGCACGACGACCCGGCCGCCGGGCACCTAGGCATTTCCAAAACATTGGCTCGGGTGGCCCAGCTATATTACTGGCCCGGCATGTTTCGGGAAATTGCCCGGTACGTCCGAGGGTGCGCTAATTGTGCGCGGCATAAGGCCAGTCAACGACAACCGGCTGGACGGATGATGGCCACCCCGTCCGCGCACCATGGGAACAAGCCGCCGTAGACCTGATCGGTCCCCTGCCTCGATCCACTAGCGGCCATACCTGGCTATTAACCATACAAGACCGGTTCAGTAAGTGGATCGAGATGGTCCCGCTTAGAAAAGCCACCGCCGTAGCCGTAGCCCGAGCACTCACCGACCGCCTGATATACCGGCACGGGTGTCCGGTCGCCCTGGTGTCCGATAACGGAACTCAGTTCGTCGCGCAACGCATTAAGGCCTTGCTAGCTTCCTACGGGATACAACATCGGACATCCCCCGTGTACACTCCGCAATGCAATCCGGTAGAGCGAGCGAACCGTACGGTTAAAACAATGATCAGCCAGTACGTAGGCCGGCGGCACAAAGACTGGGACGAGCGAATCCCCGCCTTACAGTTCGCCATCAACACCGCCCGACATGAGGCCACCGGATACACTCCGGCCTACATTCTGCACGGCCGAGAGCTCGCCCGCCCACATCCAGAGGATCGACCAGGAACCGCACCAGCACCAGGACCAAGCACCCGCCAGACCCAGTTGGAGGACGCCTACAAGGTGGTCCGAATCCACCTCGCCCGGGCCTTCCAGCGGCAAGAGAAGCCGTACAACCTAAGGCGACGAGACTGGCGACCGCAGCTGGGCGAACGCGTCTGGAAACGCGACCGCCCCCTGTCCAGCAAGGCCAACGCGTTCAACGCCAAGCTGGCCCCGAAGTACAGCGGACCGATGACTGTCCGGAGGATCGTATCCCCCGTAATCGTTGACCTCAAGGACGCCCGAGGACGATGGCACCGCCACATCCATGTGCAGGACCTCAAGGCGGCATCCGAGGAAGAGGACGAGGAAACCATCGGGGCGTAGGACAGGGCCAGCCGCCGTGATTCCTCCAGCGCCATACCCCCCACGCCATCTCGCGGCTCCCTGTATCAACCTCCCGACTCGGCCGATAAGATCGCCGGGCAAAGGCCCGAGCCCGCCGCTACGGGCCCCCCAGCGCACCGCGCGCCATCTCGCGGCGCTCCCGCGACTAACCACCGACACAGACGGGCCACGAGGTCCGACCCCCCGCCGCTAGGGTCCGCAGGGGGAATTCGGTTTTCTCGCATTCAAAGACCCCCGTAGGGGTATATAAGGGGGGCCGGGTCAATGACCCGGCTCATATTGCTGCGATGAGTCAACCGACCATCAAAGCGCTTTTTGGTGATATCTCCTCCTCGGAGGAGAGTGAAGGAACGGCTGACGAGCCAAAGGGGCCGCCTGTCAACCAGGCCCCAGCGGCGTCGGTCCGGCTCCCTCGGCCGGGGGTCTCGGTCCAACGGTCGGACGTGCAGCAGGAGCGCCGAAGGGCTATCCTGCTGACCGCGCCGCCGCCACCGCCGGGTTTCCCGGTTTCCGGTCTCTTCCTGCTACACGCCGGGCAACGGGTTTCTCGTTGTTACGCCGGGTTTCCCGGTTTCCGGTCTCTTCCTGCTACACGCCGGGCAACGGGTTTCTCGTTGTTACGCCGGGTTTCCCGGTTTCCGGTCTCTTCCTGCTACACGCCGGGCAACGGGTTTCTCGTTGTTACGCCGGGTTTCCCGGTTTCCGGTCTCTTCCTGCTATACACCGGGTGACGGGTTTCTCGTCATTACGCCGGGTTTCCCGGTTTCCGGTTTCTTCCTGTTATAAGCTATACGCCTCCGTACACCATATCTCTAAGTTATACCGGGTAATTTGTAAATCTTTTCCGGACACCGCTACAGGCTACACGCCTCCGCATTTTGTTTATACCGGGTAGTCAATAAGTTTCTCTATTTAAGGCTTTATGCCAACAAACATTTTGTTTATACCGAGTAGTCAATAAGTTTCTCTATTTAAGGCTTTATGCCAACAAACATTTTGTTTATACCGAGTAGTCAATAAGTTTCTCTATTTAGGCTTATGCCAACAAACATTTTGTTTATTTGTTTCTTTTTGAATAAACCAAAGCATTGTTAATAAGGAATAAGCGAGTCTGAATCTCCCCCTTCCTCCCGAATCCTGGAACCGGCGAGCCGATCCGCGGCGTCGGGAAAGGTGAACCGTTACAATTTCAACGACGACTTTTTCGAATCGTCATTATTCACGGAACTGTGCGATTTAGTATCGGAAATAGAGGAGGAAATCTCTCAGGATCTAATAAAATTCTTGGAAGAACAGTGTCCGGATATCTCATTTAAAATCAATCAATACGCTAATTATTTGAATATTTGAATCATTTCTCAAATGTCATCAGAATTTACTATTGAAGAAAATCGAAAATTGATTAACGAAGGAATTCATACAATAATAAGTATAATTATCGCCCTATTAACAGACGTTTTAGAGGGAAACATCGATCTAGACCAATTTCTCGTCTGTTTAGATAACATTCCTGATCCATTGCACACGATACATGCGAGATTTCACTGAAACAGATAACTCAAGTAAATTAAATAATCGTTTAATAATAGGACCCCATGAGGGATTCTCAAGACCTTAGATTCGAGAGTTATATAATATTTTCGTTATTGAATTGATTAATTAATAACTATTTAAACGGGGAAATTACGGTTGATCAATTGATAAATTCATTAGATAGTTTAGAAAGAATCGCTAGTGGAAATCCTTTTTTCACTAATAACTAGAATTCCCCATTCCCAACGTCCCAATACTCGGTCCCTAGTTCCACAATATAGTCCGTGCTCTCGGCGTCCCTGAGGTATAGCCGGTGTAAGCAGGTTGCCTCATAAAAAATAGAGAGCGCCCCATTCTTTCTAGCCTAGGAATAGAGAGAGTAGGAAGGTCACTAAGACGTGACAGTGATAAGAATATGATTTGTAAATGAAATGCGGCGCATGCGCGCAGTCTATCACGCAGTGTCTCGCGTTCTAATCTTAACAACTGTGGGTGCGTTCCGTGTTGCGCATGAAACGCATAGACTGCAATACTGATGCGCAACGCTTCGAAATCATTCCGTTTTTTCAATGCGCGCGTGAAGTGCATGAGTGCTTGAGAATTTCGGAACGATTTCCTAAGCGATCTATGCGAATTGAAAATGGACGCCGTACGATACAATAATCGAATTTCATCAGCAACAATTATTTCTTCATTGATATTTTTAAACAATGAAAGTGATAGCTCCGAATCGAGTGACAGTGAAGAAGATGAAATTTCGCTTAGTGACATGAAAACTTTGTATCTTATACTAATGATAGACAAATCACGTGGAGAAATGATTGCCACGGAAAAAATTACAGAGTATGTTGATCGCGTGATTCCTAATTATTCCAATACCGTATTTAAAGAACATTTCAGGTAAGCGTGTCACCATATAACATATTGTTTAATTATCAAGTTGGAATCTTATTCATTTGGTTTTATTAAATTATATAATTTAACTTATAACATAACCTAACTTTCTAGAATGTTTCCGGCAACATTCGAAATGGTTTTATCATTGATCGGACCAGCGTTAAATGCCACATCCACTGTAACTGGTAGGAAACCAATTTCAGCAGAAAAACAATTATATATTGCCCTTTGGTTTATGGCTACTCCTGATTCGTACAGGTTAGTAAATCCTACTTTATACAGAGTTCTCTGTTCATATTAGCAAAACGTTATAGCCTAATTCAAACTGTATGCAGCAAATATCAGAGCAGCAGCCAACGCTGTGCGCCCAAAATCCAACAGTGTTGATTTGGGACGAGCAGCATTGGCTCCAATGCTTGCTACTTGCTGCGTGCAGTCTGAATTGGGCTTATGAGTAATCACAACTTCAAATACTTTGTATTTGTGACAAGTTTTTTAATTTTTACTTTGTGAATTGTTTTAGATCAGTTTGCACTAAATTTGGAGTTGGCAAAGCAACTGCTTTCAGAGCTGTCAAACGTGTTGTGTATGCACTTCATTGCATCGCACCTAGATTTATTCAGTGGCCGAATGAAGATGTTGCCGCCAATATTATGGAACAATTCGAAAGCATTTGTGGCTTCCCAAAAGTGATTAGTGCCATAGATGGTACCCACATCAAGATCCGAGCTCCATCAATTGATGCTGTTTCATATATAAATCGGAAAGGTTTTGCATCTTTAAACGTGCAAGTAGTGTGTGATTCGCGTGGCCTTTTCACGCACTGTTATGCAGGAGAAGTAGGATCGGTGCACGATGCTAGAGTTTTTAGAAACTCCCCCGTAGCACGTTTTCTTGAGACACCTGACCTATATTTTCCTAATGGCTCATATATTATTGGAGATGCTGCATATCCCATACATCCACACCTTTTGGTTCCATTTCGAGACAATGGACATTTGTTAAACAGACAAAAAAACTTTAATTATTGCTTGTCAGCAACGAGAATGGTGGTTGAACGTGCAATTGGGCAGTTAAAACTGCGTTTTAGAATACTGTTAGATTGTCTACCATTGACGAACGTCAAAAAAATTCCACAATTTATAATAGCATGTTGTGTGTTACATAACATATGCATATTACAAAATGATGTAATAACTGTTGGTATTCAACATTATGACCAGGACGAATTACAACAACCTGTTCGCAACAATAACACTGAACTAGGAAATGCTACAAGAATGAGAGTAATGAACGAATTGCAAATGAAGCTTCAATTGATTGAGGAATAAATGTACAATGATTGTAAATTATAAATTTCTAAATAAATGTAATAAACAAGCAGTCTTTTATGTTTAATTTTTTATTTTATTATTGCTATTATCACATTTAATCTTATAAAACTATTCTTTATTCTAAATATTTTTCTTAACCACCTTCAGAATACTTCAATACGTTAAAAAAATACTTTAAGAAATACATTAAAAAATATCCTTGCATCTTTGGAATCTATATGCTCATTAAGTATAACATAAGAACAAATTTTTAAAATTTAAAAACAGAACTTAAAACTCATAACTGATCAAAACTATAGAATAAATAGTTTTGTAAACTATTATTTTAAATAAAACAAGCTCTCCTATTGGAGAGATGAAATCCGGAACGGATTAATCCGTACCAGTTGAAAACGCTACAAACACATCCATATCATTTACTAGGAAATGGAACAAACCGCATTTATTTATTTAAAAATTGCTGCAATATGGAGATTAATGATCTCTGCACTTCCATTTGCTCGTTATGTCTCTTCTCACGATCTTTTCTTTTTTCTTCGCGTACTTTTTCTTGGTTTGTTTCTCTTCTTTTCATTTCTTCTCTTGTTTCTTCCTTTTCAACCTTAATACGTTCAATGAACTCTTCCACAACATGTTCTATTCGCTTTCTCTTTCTCGGTGGACCTGTAATACATAATACAAAAACAACTATTACGTTGACCCTAAGATCCGAGACACAAATTTACAAATACACATTCAAATACTTAAAAAAAAATTACTACAAATACAAATACTTACTTTTCAATTCAGGGGTTTCAGTGATTGATGACAAAGATGATGACGATCCTTCGATATTTGGGTCTGATGGACCGTCACTGGTGGCAATTGCAGGAGCTCTAGTTGACGCTTTATTGCCAAATATCGAATCCATAACCTAGTACATCATATAAACAATGTATAAAATAATACACAAATAATATACATATTAATTTCATTACACGCATGTGAAGATATTGCATACAAAAAATAAAATAAACGTATACTATATAAATTTCTACTAATAATAATAAATATCTATATCTTTACCGAAAAAAATGCCCACGAACTTCTGTGATTGCCACTCTTCTTATTTTGATCAACAATGTTTTTATAGGTTCGTTTTAATCCAGACATTTTTGTGGCACATTGGTTTGATGTAACTTCATACTCTGGGTTAAAATTTTTCATCTGGGCAGCAATTTCCGCCCAAATTTTATTGCTGCGCTTTAAACCATTAGAGAAATCTTCTTCTCTTTCTCTGTACATATCTAGTAGTAAAAGTACAGCTTTGTCTGGCCATACAAACATCTTCTTCTCTAAAAAAAAAATGTTAAATTAAAAATTAACACAAATTTTAAGTAAGAAATATTAACATTTATATATTATAATTAAACTTGAGTAAACATACTTGTACAATAACAAAAAATTAAAGAGTTGTTTAGAGACATCGGTGACACAAAAATAAAGTCAAAAAATAAAATCTTACCGGTATCGTTTTTGTCGACATTTTCATCTTCTGGATTATCATTTTCTTGGAGCTCTGCTCCTTCTCAATAAGACTTAATAAAAATTTTTGATCTATAAGAAAACAATACAATAGTTAACCTAATATTTTCTAATTAATATATTATTAATTATATCGTTCTTAAATTTTACCTTTTAATGCTTTTTCAATGTCGGCTTTGTTTAAAAATAAACTAATGACTTCATTTTCTAATAAAACTGGAAATTCTTGCAATTTATCACCCATCGTACCACTTTACAGCAATTCCAGTGCCGATTCGATATACATATAGTGTGCGTTCCGAATCACGCAAGAAGCGCATAGATCGCACGAACGCATCAAACGCATCCACTGCCTCAAGTCGAAAGAGCAGCAGTCAATGCGCTGGGAGGAGTGCTAAGAATTCAGTACGGTTAGTACACTCTAGGGAATTCATAGCTCTCTCGAAGCGCTTTCGAAGCGCGCAATAGCTAACTCGGAACGACTTTCTGTGCACTCTACGCGCTTCATGCGCAACACGGAACGCACACTGTGTCTACTGTTCGCGCATTGCATCATCCGTATCATCGTTTCGTTACCCACGTGAGAGACTGCGTCTATTGTTTATGAAGTGTCTAAGTAGTAAATGAATGTCTAAAGAGGTGAAAGAAGCAAAATAATAGCGTCTAAAAAGATGAAAAAGCAAATAAACTTTATCTTGTCATCTCACATTACGATAGAAAATCGTCTGACAATAAGTGAAGTGATCATGAAACCGGTAAGTTAATTTAATATTTATATTATTAAGGTTATTAGAATGTTAAATTATCCCAGCAAACACAAAGTATTTTTTGAGAAAAATGACACTCAAGATAAGAGATGTACAGATTTTTTTCTATTGCAATATGATTTTCAATGTGTGGATATTAGAGAAAATAGTGAAACCAAAAATTCATGCAATACTATATATATTCTACTTCACTTTGCACAAAAAGCATTAAGTTAATATATTTGTAAAAATAGTCTCAGATTACAACACATTCTGCGTCATCTTTTCTATTTATTACTTATTGTTAGTCACAAAAAATATTTTTAATATTATATATTGTATTGCATTTATTTTAATTTTTGTAAGTATATATGTTATGTAGATTTTGTAATTATCTATGTTTATTAATGTAGTAAAGAAAACATTTTTACTTATTTTATTAGCATATGCTGACATATGGTTTTCAATGACATTGCGTTTCAATATTTTATCTAATGTAATTCACACATATTGAAAATCATATGGCAAGGAAGCAATACCTGTAGGAAAATTACTGGCTAAAATATTTTCAAATTTATTTGTCAGGATTATTAATTACTCTAGTTCAGGATTAGTAAAAATAAAACTTCAAGATACAAATATTCTTACAGTAATTCAATGTAAATTTTCAATGAAATTTTGTTTTATCGTATCTTTATTAATATATCTTTATTCATATTTGAAATAAAAACTTTGATTTATTACTTTTTCAGGTGCCATTGCTAAAAAAATTTCCGTCATGTGATGTTACACAGGTTCAATCAAAATTTCTCGTTGGTTTTCTACAAGTAATCAGAGAAAAATGAGTGCAATTGATATGCTTTAAAAACGTTTTAGTAAATTAAACAATCGCATGCATATGATTATAATCTTCAAAAAGTTTTTTTATTTGTGACAAGTAATTGTGTACCTTTCAGTGTATTTTAAGTTGTTGAGAAATGCAAAAACAATATAAGTTTAATTTGAAAATATACGTATAGAAGATAAAATTAATTATGTTGATGCACGATTGTTTGATTTCCTATAAATTATGTAAGATGCGCAGAAGAAAAGCTAAGGCAAACGCAATAATGTTAAATATATAAATATATATACCGCACATTTTTTTACTCCCGATTAAGAAATGCAGATAAAATGTTATTTTTATTTTAATATAAAATTTATTTTTGTTAAATGTATTTAATTATACTAACTGAGAATTGTAGATAGCTATTAATTTAGTGCAATACTTCTTGTGTACAATTTATTTTTATTACATACTACAAAACTGACTATGTGCGCTAAATAATGGAACTACGTTTCCATATATTATTCTGTTCTTAAATAAAAAGTTTTTATTTTAAAATAGCATAAATAGATAAAAATTATTATATTTATTTTGCCTTCCTTCTTACTAAATTTCTCGAACTTACAGGTATTATGTATTTTTATGAATTTGTGAAAATATTTGATTTTTGAAGCATTATATTTTGATTTTTTATTTATAAGATTATAAAATATAAAAGCCGAAGAGAGAGAATATAAATCTTATAGAGATTATGTTCTGTAAAATATATATTCTTCAGTTTTTATATTTTATAATCTTATAAAAGGAAATCAGGATATTAATGTTTCAAAAATAAAATATTTTTGCAAATTCGCAAAATATTTTTGTAGTATCTACGAGATTTTAATAATTTTTTATGCATAAAAAATCATTAGAAAGTCAAAATACAGTCAAAAAGTCAAATTATGTTTCCTTAAAAGCATAAAATGATATTATTTTGACTTTCTAAAAATAATTAGTTTTGATGTTATCTTGACATTTAAATAACTTTTTGTTCTACTTGGGTACATATCCTAACACTCCTCAATTTACGAGAAAAAATATTACTCCTCTAATCCAAGTCTCAATCGTAGCTTAATGAGTTGAGTACACGGAAGTGGTTTCGTAAGTATGTCTGCGGTCTGGTCCTTGGTTGTTTAGATACTCGACATTAATAAGTTTCTTCTCATACAGATCCCTTACAAAGTTGTATTTTACATCTATATGCTTTAATCTGTTATGCTCCCAACGAGCAAGTAGATGAATGCAGGATTGATTATCCTCGTAGATTTTCCGATCCTCGGAGGTGAATCTGTTACTCCAAGGTCAATAAGTAGATTCTTGACCCAGATTAATTCCGATGATGCTGTAGCTAAGGCCACGTATTCTGCTTCGGTAGAAGACAGAGCTACTGTGATCTGTCTTCTTGTGGATCACAAAACTGTTTCCAAAAATCTTTATAAGAAATCCTGAGGTTGATTTTCTATCAGATTCGCTTCCATAATCCGCATCCACGAAGCAAGAGACTTCATTTGTTTTCCCTTTAGTGTAACATAGACTTATATTCAGGGTACCTTTTATGTAACGCAAGATCCTCTTCAGTCCTTTCTATCGTGCTTCGGTTTGATCATGTTGATATCTACTGAAGTAGTTTACTAAGAAACTTAAATTAGGTCTTGTTGCTAACATGACGTAACTTAAACAGCCTACTAATTCTTTATAAGACTTTGATTGAGTTTGTAATTTCTTTTCGCTATTCGGGATAAATCCTACTTTCATAGAAGTTTTTGTCGGATTACATTCTTCCATCTTGAAACGTTGTAGCAACCGTTGCAAGTAGTTGCGTTGATTCATACGTAGTTCTTGATCCGTTCTTTCTATGTCAATCCCAAGGAACGATTGTAGCTCACCGAGATCTTTTATGTGAAATTTATTTTCTAATTTTCCTTTAATGTAATTAATCAATTTCTCATCATTTACAGTAATTATTATATCATCAACGTATAATAGACTATAGATGGAGGCTTCTTTTACTTTTAAGATGTTCAAACATTTATCAATTTCTGATCGCCAAAAACCTAAGCTTATAATAAATTTATCAAAGGTTTTGTTCCAAGTTCTTGAAGCTTGCTTGAGGCCATAGAAAGATTTATTTAACTTGCATACGAGACCATCTTTTGCTTTATATCCTTCAGAAACTTTTCTGTATATCTCCTCCTCAATATTACCATGTCAAAAGGTATTCTTTACATCCATGTGATTAGCAAAGAACTCTTTTTCAACTATTATTGCAAGTAGGATTCTGAGCGTTGTTAATCTTGCTACTGGTGCATAGGTCTCGTAGTCGTATCCTTTTTGTTGCGCACAACCTTTAACCACTAGTCTGGCCTTGTATCTCTCAATGCTTCCATTCTTATTTCTTTTAATTTTAAAAATCCATTTAGTGTCCAGTGTTTTCTTTCTTTGGAGTAGTTTAGTTAATTTCCATGTATTGTTTTCTTCTATTGCGTCTATCTCTTCTTTTATTGCTTGCATCCACTCTTGTTTATCGTC